CCACCCTGCCCGGACCTAAGCTCCAAAAGATTTTTTAGGGCCCCATCACACTTGCAGACATAGGGCAGCACCGCCCCATGCCGACTTATGGCAACCCGCTTCTCCGGAACCGGGCCGCTCCAGGCGCTACCGGACCCTGGGCTTTTGTAACCGGTACCCCGCCCGACCTCTGCTCCGAACCCCACGTCTCTGGGACCTTGGCGGATCGAAAACCCGACCCCACCCTCATTCGGGGTTCCCGATACTTCTCGCCACGCTTTGTCTTCAGAGTAACGCTTCCTGCTGGGTCCCTACCTGCGGGGTACCATCGCCCGACCACCCGGAGGGCGGCGGGACACCCGCCTGTACCCCTCCTACCCACCCGTGACCTCTGGAGCTTGACCTTTCGGCCTGCAGACGCGCGACATCTGGCAGCACACCCTTCGGCTCCCTTGTGGCTGCCCTATAGCTCCTCAACCAAAGGCTTCCAGATGGCAAAAGCGCTCCCCTTTTATTCCCGGGACCCTCCCCCACCGGCCCAAACGCCACCCGCCCCGGACCTGAGCTCCAAAAGATTTTTTTGGCCCCCGTCACACTAGCAGACATAGGGCAGCACCACCCCATGCCGACTTATGGCTGGAACCACCCACCCACAGGGTCACGGATCGACCCCCAAACCCGTATTTCTTCAAATAACCAAATCAAATAACCAAATGTCCCCATATGGCTAAAGTGATTCCTCACGGCTCCGGTGACCCCCCCGGTCGCTTCCGACCCCCCCACACCTCCATCCCGCCTTTGGAAACGAATTCCCTTTCACCCTAGCTCCACATGTCCGGAATGAGCCCAAACGGCCGCACCCCCGAACTCAGAGAAACCCTCTGCACAATGGAAAACCCGGACCCTCCCAAAACCAATACAAGAGCTCCTCCAAGTGTGTCTGGGACGACACTGCGCGTCCGCCCGAATGGCTAAAACTGATCCCCCGTTCCCCATTCAAGTGCCGCCCCCTGGCCATGTTGGTCGTCGCTGACCCTAGGCAGCACCGAGTGCCATGGCGTGGCATTTTCTATTATAACCCCAGACACATGGGAACCTCGGGTCCACCCCTATCCCTAGATCCAGGCCTCTAACCTCCTTGAGACCAGGCCTTGCTCCAAGAGTCTCCGCCTCACAGTGCGTGCAGATGCACTCACACCTGCCTGTGCCATTCCTGAGCAAGCTCTGCACTGCTGGTAGCCCAATCCCGCATCTGAAACACTTTTAAGAGATGGTCCTGGCACTTGCTGGTCTTTCTTGGGCACCCTGGAGCCTTTTTGGCAACAATGGAACCTCTCTCCTTGAAGTTCTTGATGATGCAATAGATGGTTGACTGAGGTGCAATCTTTCTAGCTGCGATACTCTTCCCTGTTAGGCCATTTTTGTGCAGTGCAATGATGACTGCATGTGTTTCTTTAGAGATAACCATGGTTCACAGAAGAGAAACAATGATGCCAAGCACCAGCCTCTTTTTAAAGTGTCCAATGGTGTCATTCTTACTTAATCATGACAGATTGATCTCCAGCCCTGTCCTCATCAACACCCACACCTGTGTTAATGAAGCAATCACTGAAACAACGTTAGCTGGTCCTTTTAAGGCAGGGCTGCAATGAAGTTGAAATGTGTTTTGTTCATTTTCTAGGCAAATATTGACTTTGCAATTAATTGCTGTTAAGCTGATCACTCTTTATAACATTCTGGAGTATATGCAAATTGCCATTATAAAAACTGAAGCAGTAGACTTTGTAAATATTAACATTTGAATCATTCTCAAAACTTTTGGCCATGACTGTATATTTGACAAAAAAAGTCAATTTTATTTTATTTTTATCTAAACTTTTATTGGTTATTTATATTCTGTGATCTGAGCTGAGCAATTAGGATTTGCATTTCAAAAAGGGAAGCTATATTTAAGGAGATATATGCTGAAACATACATAAAATTGATTTTCAGTAAGACGTTTGAATGGGATCAAAATGCAACATTTTATCAGGATAATGTTTTGAGTAGAAGCTCTGAGATATTTCAAAGATCACAAAATTACTTTAAAATGTCTGAAACTGTATATAATAACTATATAAAACCACAACAGTGACCTTGGGAGTAGAAAACTGGAGCAGTAGAGAGATTTCACAACATGTCACCTAGACTGTGACAAGTTTCCAGTACATATCACAAGCGAGAAAGAGTACTTTGAATTTATTATTATTTTTAAAATTAATTTCAAAGACACATCATGGTTGCAAACTTAAACCATGATGCGTGTCTTTGAAATTGTCTGTGTGTGTTGAACGATGCAGGCCTGACTCACCTGTGGCAGCGAACCAAGAGTCACAGGGTTCAACACAGTGACAGTGGAGGCAAACTGGAAGCATCAAAACAGGAAGAAAAAGCATCCCAAGAGGAAGGAAGGATTCCACCTGCGTCGGGAGCGCGCATTGCAGCCAGAGAGGCGGATCCCATTTACACAGTGCTTCTAATCGATTTCTAGACAAAAACAACTCATATAATCATGTCAAGGTTGTGACATTCATTTTAATCGGCTGCTGTTTAAAAAAGAAGCAATAACAAAATCGTAAAATAAATAAACAAGGTCTTGTGTGGAGGTCTTCTTACACCGTTTTGTGTTGTTTTTAATGGCCAAAAGATATGGGTGAAGAAAAGGAGAGAATGGATATTTCAGTTGCCTGAAATAATCGGTTCCCCCTCCATAAAATGGGAAGAAATTAATTTACCTGCAAGTCTTTAGCTGTATTTATTCCTTTCATCATCAACAATAAATCATGAAAGTTTGAAAACATGGGAACAAATTAACTAACCAGCACATCTTTACCTGTGTTTATTTCTCCAATTATGTAAGTTTGGAGACATTGGCTTTTTATTTGCCAAAGTTATTTTGGCGGAACCAAACATTTTAGCTGTCTGAAATAACATATTCTTTGTAGGGGGAACACATTATTGCAGGTGGCTAAAATATTGGTTTCCCACAAGTAAGTTTGGCAAATTAAGAGTAAATATTACCAAATTCACATGATTTGTTGGTGATGAAGAGGGGACTAAGCACATTTAATGCTTAAGGGACTAAGCACTAAATGTGTAATATAGGGAATTAACTTAATATAGAGTTAATTCCCTATATTACATGGGAATTAGCTCCCATGTAATATAGGGAGAACAGGTAATTTCAGGCAGCTAAAATATATGGTTCCCCCATCAAAACTTTGGTAACGAAGAATCAAATGTAACCAAAATCACAGGATTTGTTGTTGATGAAGAAAGGAATAAGCACAGTTAAATACTTGCTGGTAATTTCACAGGCAATACACATTGCCTGTGTTCTGTCCAGATTTACAGAAATTAGATGAAGAACAAACATTAGTGGATTGTAGTCAAGACTCTGAAACAGAAGGATGTCAAATACAAATTTACTGTCCTCTGATTCTCAACCTCCCCAGGAAACCATTCCCATCAACCTAGGAGACTGGGTCCACATAAAAGCCATCAAAAGAAAAAACTGGACCAGTCCGCGGTGGGAAGGACTGTTTCCAAGTGGCACGTCATAGCATGATGCTAAAGACGTTTAACCCTGCTGTGATCAGCTATCAGCTGGTCAGGCCAACCTCTGACACAGACTGGAATATTAATATAAAATATTAATGTTCCAGTTGGGGACGCGCTGGACAGAGGATTATATGATGATGTCTTGTAACCGATAAACAGATTAAATCATCTGATGACTGACTCCTACACTGAAAATGTGGAAACAAGTGATTTTCCTGCTGTTTCCTTTATACATTACATTTCTCTTTATAGCATGTGTTTATATTTTGTGGAGAAAAAAATGACTTGCATTTTATTGTTCCTTTTCCTTTTCTTAGATTTTAGGTAATTCACACTTATGTAACAGTGAGAAAACAGGAGGGAAATGTTAGAGTTGTTATGTGTTGTTTTCACTCTTACATTGAAGTGTTAGCTTTTTACCATGTCGGTTAAAGCTTTTGACTGCTGTGTTGAAAACTTTTGACCGACTCTCACAGACTGTTTCTGCAACACGATTATCTCTAACAACAGATTGTTCTCCCCGTCCTTAGGAGAAATCGCTCTCATGAGAAAGGACTAGATGACCTGCTTCACGTGACGAGCTGCAGCTCGGCCTATCTGGCTGGAACTTGATAAACTGAATCAGTTGAAGCGCGGCTCGATGCACAGTTTTCTAATTAATAATAATGCTTCATGTGAACTGGAAAGTGATTGAGACTGCATTTCCCCCACCCCTATAGGCAGTTTCAATCTGAGTAACCAGGGCACCTAATCTCTAATAAAAGAGGTAGAAGAGACTCAGAGCAGTAGGAAATTTATTGTAACTGAGATCTCTTTTCTGTTGCTCTCCTCACCAGTAAAACCTTATTCACGTCTCCTCTCTCATTTGTGTTTCATGACTGTTCTAAGTTTCTAGACCTGACACATTGTTGCACATTCTGCTGCTAGTAGCAAGAAAAACAATTAAACTGGATTAAACCTGTTCACCAACTGTTGCTGAATGGAAGCAAAACTGAAAACATGACATGATGGTGCATCCTACTGCCTAACTGCAAATGAAAATAGATAATTAAATATGTAAAGTGGAAAATGAAATGCTTAGAAAATTACAATTTTTAGATGGGAAAATAAATATTTAGTTAAAATTTTCTTTTATTTATTTTATCTGACATTTATGTATGTATGAATAACATGGTGAAAATATCTCTTTGAAAATGAATTTGCACTTTTCCTCTATGACATGCTAATTAAACTAATACTATTAATTCTTTTTACCATCAATCATCTCTACAGTCATGGTCAAAAGTAAGTACACCCTCTTCATTTCCTGATCTGCTGCTGCAGTTTGGATGCAACATGAGAACTGTGGAGCTGGAATCTTCCAGATGGTGAAAAGAGCAAAAATCAACGGTCCAGAGCCGTTGATCCTGAACCAGAAGCTGCTCTGAGGTCAGTTTAGAGAAAATGTTTGTGTTGCACTAAAATCTATGAAACCCAGGAGTTTGTTTCAAAATGCCGACGACAGACATAGACAGGTAAACTTTCCTCTGATTTCCAGTCAGACTCACCAGTCAGACTAGTTTGGGCTCATTTCTCCTCATAACACTTTCTGTTTAAACTCACCTGTTCAGGTGTGACATCAATGGTTCTGCTGTGGTTCTGTTGGGTCTCAGTTTGTTGATCAGATATTCAACTCTTTGGATCGTTTGAATAAATTGTGAGTTTGTTTTGGTTTTTACTTGAACTTTGTCTTCAGGAACTTTCCTCTTGTTTCTGCTCTCTGAAATCAGAAGTGAACAGATTCATTTCTGATTTCAGATCAAAGTTTAATCTCTGCTGTTTGGTTAATCTACAGGGATTATTAGATTACTGATTAACTGTAATCAAAGATGAACAGCTGATTCATGATTTTATTTCCTGGTATCAGACTCTGGTCTCAACGTTAAAGTCAAACACAACAATTTTCTGTTGCTTCCTTCAAAAAGAAAATATTACATATTATTGTAAAATATTAATGTAAAATTTGTTCAATTCAGTCAAATTATTTATTGTGGAGCTAAATATTTACATTTTTATCCATTTACAATTTTTTCCTGTCATATGCTAAATAAACTATAACATTTTTTTAAATCATCACTACAGCTATGATCAAAATAAGTAAACCCTGATTTTTATCAAAACTTTTCTCCTTCCTCATGAAGACTTTGTCTACAGACATACATATATTGTTTGATTTAGATTATCTGACACCAGAGCACTATCTTAGAAATAAATATTACAATATAATTTTAACTTTCTAAGATTTACAAAATCTTCATATTAGTCTTCATATTGTGTTACACGAAGCACTATAGCTAATATTAGCTGACATTTCGCTGTTGGACATGGATACAGTACATTAATATTCTATTCACACAATATAAACAATATTCTCACTTGTGAAAAGTTATCCCCCGAGCCCTGACAACAGCAGTCGGTCGATTTTAACAAAATATCCTGCAGTGCTGAGGCATCTTCTGCTGTAGGTAGGATGGACAACCGCTCCAAGATGGCCGCCGTAATTTCTGGATCCGAGCAGCCAATGTGGGTCTACTCTTTTATTATGTCTATGGAAATCAAACGTGCTGATTTTACTGCAAAGTTTCAACTTCCTGGTTCTGCTGTATGGCAGGCCGTTTTATCATAAATTTGGTTTCGCCTGACTATCCGTAATTAAATTCTAGATATCTAAAAATGCATTTTTACTAGACAAAACTACATTTTGACTATCCAGAATGGTAACTGAAGATATCTGCATTTATATTCTGACTAGTAAGAAAAATAAATCACCATATCTTCAATTACATTTTGATGAGTCAAAATTCCTCTCAAGATATCTCAAATGATGTCACCGGATCCGTCATTTGATGGGACACATATCCATTATTATAATTTAATATATGTCAAACTTATGAATAGTCAAAATTACATTATTAGCTATCTGAACTAAGAATTGCGTGGAAGCCCCTTTGTGCTCTCCAAACAGCCTGCAGAATTTTATGTTTCCTGCACAAAATTGTCAGTAAAAGCCACAACGTTGAAAGAACTTGGCAATGTTGGATATGCAGAGAACGCAAAACATCTTGGATTTTGAGACTGCTTCAGAAATCTGCAAAGAATTTCCTGTTTATTCATTTCCAGCAAACCGCTTTGAAAATCTTAATAGTGCTGTCAACCAATTTTCAAGATGAAAGCAGTGCGTTTTCAAACATGTTTCCCTTTTTTCTACTTTTCATTGTTTTATTAAGCTTTCAAAATGCTGTGAAAGTCAGGGACGTTTTGATTATGCAAAACCCATGTTCAAGATATGAGTAACGTCACTCTGAATAGTCAGAATGATAATTTAAGACATCGTAAATAGAAAAGCTGTGTAATTCAAGCTCTAACTGGAGATATCTGAAAATAAAGTTTGACTGGTCAATATGATATGTTCTGAATTGAGTGTGGGTTCCTCTGCCCAGCTGGTTCCACTCAACAGCTCTGACTGAAGGAACCAGGCAGGAAGTTAGAGATACTTATTTTATTGTCGTTGCACAAAGAAACAAAAGTAAAATTGGCAATGAAATGTCATCGCTTGGCCACCAGAGCACACACAGAAACACAAGTGTGCCTATAATTACATAATAAACAAATAATAATGTATTGCTAAATATATATCACCTAGTATTTTCAAGCAGTTTTAGTGATGGGATTGTTGAGCAATCTGATGGCCAGTGGGAGACAGCTATTTCTGAGTCTGGTTGTTCTACAGCGGATGCTAGGAATCTCCTGCCAGATGCCAACCGGATGAACAGACCCTGGAGAGGATGGGTGGAGTCAGAGAAGATCTGGTTTGCTCTGGGAATGCAGCATCTGTAGGGAATGGTATGGATAGGGGGGAGTGGAGCCCAATGGTCCTCTCTGCTGTCTTCACCTCTCTTTACAGAGACTTCCAGTCTGAGGCCTTGCAGCTCCCAGACCAGATGGAGATACTCCTGGTCAGCAAGCTCTCAATGGTTCCTCTATAGAAGGTGAAGAGGAAGGAAGGAGGGAGGGAAGCTCTTCTCATTCTTCTCAGAAAGTGCAGGCGCTGCTGTGCCTTTTTCACCAGTGAAGTGACGTGAGTTGTTCAACTGAAGTTGTCTGTAATGTGAACCCCCAGGAACTTAGTGCTGCTGACGATCTCCAATGCTTTGTCGTTAATGAGGGCAGGTGTGTGGTTCAGTCGGGACCTTCTGAAGTCGACAACGATCTATTTTGTCTTGTTGACGTTCAGGAGCAGGTTGTTCATTCTGCACCAGTCCACAAGATGTTGTACCTCTTTTCTGTAGTTCACTTCATTGTCATCCTGAATGTGTCCCATAATTATTGTGTCGTCTGCATATTTCTTGATGTGGTTGGTGTTAAACCTGGGACTACAGTCGTGGGTCATCAGGATAAACTGCAGGGGTGTCAGGACACAGCCCTGGGGGGAACCAGTGTTCAAAGAAATGGCGTTGGAGGTGTTATTACCCACACGGACAGACTGAGTTCTGTCGGTGAGGAAGTCCAGCAGCCAGTTGCACAGTGGAGTATGAAGCCCAAGGGGACCAGTTTGCATACCAAGTCCTGGGGGATGATCGTATTAAATGCTGAGCTGAAGTCCAAAAACAGCATCTGTACGTGGGTGTTTCTTTTCTCCAGATGTACCAGGCTCAGATGAAGAGCAGTGGAGATGCCATCTTCAGTCGAGCGATTAGGTTTGTATGCAAACTGGAAAGGGTCAAATGATGGAGGCAGTATAGAAATTATGTGATCCTTAACTACTCTCTCGAAGCACTTCATGATGATAGATGTTAATGCAATGGGTCGAAAGTAATTGAGACATGTGATGGTTGGTTTCTTGGGGACTGGAATAATAACAACTGACTTAAAACATGAGGGGACAATGGTCTGGTGCAGCACTGTTGAAGATGTCCGTGAGCACATGGGCTAGATGGTCTGCACATTCTTTGATCAGCCTTGCTGGAATGTTGTCAGGTCCTCCAGCTTTTCATATGATGACCTTTCCCAGGGATTTTCACACAGCAGATGTTTCGAGCCTGATGGCCTATGCAAACACCACCTCCCTTGGATTTACCAGTAAGAGCATGGCTCCTGTCAGCTCTAAACTTTGTTAGCCCCTCCAGACTGATGGCATTATCAGGTTCAGATGAGTTTAGCCATATCTCGCAGAAAATGAGAATGCAGCAGTTTGTTGTTTTCCTTTTGGTGGTTAAATTCAGTTTCAGGTAGTTCATTTTGCTTTCAAGGGATTGTGGTCCTGGCAGTGAACCCCAAAAAGGCTACTGGTCCAGACAGAATACCTAGCAAGGTGCTCAGAACATGTGCATATCAACTTGCTCCCATCTTTACCAGAATCTTCAACCTCTCTCTGCCCCAGGCAGTTATCCCGTCCTGCTTAAAATCAACCATTATTGTCCCAATGCCGAAGAAGTCTCCAATCAACAGCATAAATGATTACCGCCCTGTGGCCCTCACTCCAGTAATCATGAAGTGCTTCGAGAGACTTGTTCTCCCGCACATCAAAGACTACCTACCTTTGACTTCGACCGGCACCAGTTCGCATATCAAACAAACAGATCCACAGAGGACGCCATAGCCTTAGCTCTCCACTTTGCACTGAGCCACCTGGAGCACAGGAGAGCTATGTCCAAATGCTCTTTGTGGATTACAGCTCAGCTTTTAATACTATAATTCCGGATATTCTCCAAACCAAACTGGTCACCCTTGGTCTCCCCCCTCTTACATGCACCTGGATAAAAGACTTCCTCACCAATCGGTCCCAGACTGTGAGACTTGGCCCACACCTCCCCTCTACTCGTATGCTGAGCACCGGCCCCTCCACAGGGCTGTGTGCTGAGCTTCCTGCTGTACTGCCTCTACACCCATGACTGCAGTCCGACCCACAACAATAACCTCATTGTCAATTTTGCTGATGACACCACAGTAGTTGGACTAACCTTAAAGGGAGATGAAACAGCCTACAGACAGGAGATCCTGAAACTGACAGCCTGGTGTTCAGCGAACAATCTTGTTCTGAACACCAAGAAAACCAAAGAGATCATTGACAATTTCAGGAAGCACTGCACTGACCCAGCTCCCTTTTACATCAATGGCGAGTGTGTAGAAAGGGTCCACTCATTCCAGTTCCTTGGCGTCCTCATTACAGCTGGCATCGGCTGGAAAGAAAACATCACAGCGATCACACTTCCTGAGAGTGCTTGGAAAGCACAATCTGGACCCCAAACGGCTGCTGACCTGCTACCGCTCATCCATTGAGAGCTTGCTGACGTACTGTATCATAGTATGGTACGGTAGCTGCACTGTGGCAGACAGGGAGAGGCTTCAGAAGGTTGTCAAAGCAGCACAGCGAATCCTTGGCTGCCCTCTCCCCTCCATGCTGGACATTTACACCTCATGGTGCCTTAACAGAGCAAAACACATCCTGAAGGACAACTCCCACCCTGGCTTCAAACTGTTTGACCTGCTGCCCTCCGGGAAGCACTACAGGTGCTTTAGGACAAGGACAAGCAGATTTAAAACCAGTTTCTTCCCAAACGCTGTAACAATCCTAAATTCACACATGCACTGACTTATTTCCTCCCCCTCTCCCTACCTTCCCCGGTACCTACCTCCAGTATAACCACTGTGATATTTACTGTGCAATATTTACACTGTGCAACAACACTACCTCTGTGCAATATTTATATGTATTTTGTATTTATTCATATTCTGTATTTTTAAATTTGGTAAATTTTTGTATATATACATTTTACGTGCACTTCTTTTTAATGTACATGTCTGCACTGGAAATAGGGCTTTTAATTTCGTTGTAAACTTGTATAATGATAATAAAATGCATTCTACATTAGCAAGCAAGATGGAGGGAAGCGGCAAACGGAAAGGGTTCGCTTTTAGCTTAGCTGTAAGTCCACCACGACTTGGGTGTGGTGGAAGGTTTTCCTACGTTCATCACTGCTCACATCCTGGCTGACTTCAGGCTAAACCCCGCTGAGGTTTGTGGGAAGAAGACAGTCTGTTTTGTTTCTCTTCAGAAATGGAGGATGATATCTCTGCTCTCGTTGTTGACAACGGCTCCGGTGTGTCCAAGGCTGGGTTTGCAGGGGATGATGCTCCTCGTGCCGTTTTCCCCTCCATTGTTGGGCGACCCAGACACCAGGTAGGAACTGGAACACCTTCATCAGTCTCAGGTGTGATGGTCTAGCAGTTTGACTGACTTTGTGTGCAGGGTGTGATGGTGGGAATGTGCCAGAAGGACAGCTTTGTGGGAGACGAGGCCCAGAGCAAGAAAGGCCTCCTGACCCTGAAGTCTCCCATCAAGCGCGGGATCATCACCGACTGGGACGACATGGAGAAGGTGAGTTAAAGCTGAGATCACTTTGTCTGTTAACATGATGCTATTGGTTCCAACACTGAACTTAGTTTGGTTCTGATGCTCTGGGTTTATCAGTGACTGTAGCAGAGAAACGTGGCTGGGTTTAAAGCTCAGTAGCTGAAAGTGCTGATACAAAGACTGTTGCCCAAATGTAAAGCCATTAAAATCTTGGCATTTTGTCCTTCATAATGGCCGTACTGTCTTGACTTGTGGTCAACCTGAACTCTTCAGATCTGGCATCACACCTTCCTCAACGAGCTCCATGTCGCTCCGGAGGAACATCCGGTCCTACTGACAGAAGTTCCTCTCAACCCCAAAGCCAACAGGGAGAAGATGACCCAGGTGAGTTCTGACCCGACCCAGTTCAGAGGAGAGACTTTCTTCTACTTTATCTGTAAAGAGAAGTGAGACGAATCCTCTTCCTGTTCCAGATCATCTTTGAGACGTTCAACTCTCCTGCCATCTATGTGGCCAACCAGGCTGTCCTGTCGCTGTACGCCTCCGGTCGTCTCACAGGTCAGGGAATCATGAAACAGAGTCGGCTTCTGAAGTGACTCATGATTGCTTCGTTTACTGACTTGCACTTTAATCTCTCAGGTACTGTGATAGACTCTGGTGATGGTGTCAGCCACACTGTGCCGATCTATGAAGGCCACGCTCTTCCTCACGCCGTCCTGCATCTGAATCTGGCTGGCAGAGATCTGACAGACTACCTGATGAAGATCCTCACAGAGAGAGGCTACAGCTTCACTACCACTTGTACGGCTCAGTCAGAATTAAACCAACCTTTAAGGCTTGACCTTGTGCTCTTCTATGACCTTTTTATTCTGACTTCCAGCTGAGCGTGAGATTGTGCACGACATCAAGGAGAAGCTCTGCTATGTGGCTCTAGACTTTGAGCAGGAGATGCAGATGGCAGCTTCTTCCTCTTCCCTGGAGAAAAGCTATGAGCTTCCTGACGGCCGAGTCGTTACCATTGGCAACGAGCGTTTCCGCTGCCCAGAGGCGCTCTTCCAGCCATCTTTCATCGGTCTGTAATGAGTAGATGATCAAACGCTGAAATCTCTTTAGTAGCATTCAGTGAACTTCTGGTCCCAAACTTCAGTGACCTGTACCTGTTTTCTTTAGGAATGGAGTCTGATGGTATTCATGAAACAACTTACAACAGCATCATGAAGTGTGACGTGGACATCCGTAAGGATCTGTTCGCCAACACTGTCCTTTCCGGCGGAACCACCATGTTCCCTGGAATCACTGACCGCATGCAGAAGGAGATCACTGACCTGGCCCCATCCAGCATGAAAGTCAAGGTATGATGGTCCTTGGTGCCCACAGACCTGCCTGAGTAATACCTCTTGCAGTATACCTGGATGAGTTCACAGGTCGAAGGTCATCCAGAAACCTAATGCAGCTGTTGCAGGTGGTTATTTTGAAACAAGTTGATAATGTCCTACAGAGAATGGAGAAATGAAACTTGACCAACAACAAACCTGCAGACTTTAATCTTGATGGCAAATCTAGAACATGGATCATTTAAGATTTCCTCTCAAGCTTGGATCTTTTTCTTGACCTTGTCGTTTCATTGTGCGTAGGTCATAGCTCCACCAGAGAGGAAGTACTCGGTCTGGATCGGCGGCTCCATCCTGGCCAATCTCTCCACCTTCCAACAGATATGTATCAGCAAGCAGGAGTACAATGAATTCGGCTCAACCATCGTCCACCACAAGTGCTTCTGAAGCGTCCTCCCTGTCCCAGAGAGGCGCCTGATTTTCAGCTGCTGCATCCAGCTGGGAGGCCGTCTGGTTCATCTGTTGTAAACGGACTCAAACATTCTGTTGGACATTTTAGTTTGATTATTCTACTTTTAGTGATGTTTAACCGTAGCACATGTGGAAACATTAGATTGATCATGATTGTTTTGAGTAGGCCTCAATGTAGGTTAGATTTAGATTTATGATTTAATCAATAATCTGATCAGTAGAATATTTTTTCTTAGATATAATGACCACACTTTGATTAAAATTAGTCTAATCAGTAAGTTTTATTTTAAATCACAGTCTTAACAAGTGTGTAAGTCATATATTCATCTGAAAATGTTTTCGTTCATTATAACCAATGAAGTAGAAAACTAATCAGAAAATGTTGAGTGTAACAAATGTTTTGGTATTGAAACTGTTAATGTCTGTTTTGTAAGAGTTTGAAGATATTATATGAAACGTGCCAATGTTTATAATCAGAATCTGCTGTTTGATGCCCTGGGTCAGAGGTCAGAGGTCAGCAGAGCTCTGTGCGGTTCAGGAACCAGTTTGAAGCAGTTTGGAAGAATGAAAATCATGGATAGCTGATAAA